GTCTATCAAAGGCAAGCCAGTCTGGAGAGAGCGGGCGGCGAGGGCTGGAAAGAGAAGAGTCTACACGTTTCAGATTAACGCTTCTCTTGAATGGTTTCTTTTATTTCATTTCCCCTACTTTTTAAATTAGCAAATACAGTAGACCCAGAAGGAAAATGCGCAAGGGGGAGAGGAAAAGAGGAGAGGGAAAGGGAAAAAGCAAAAGCAGCCAAAACTCTCAGACTTGTTCATTAGGGTTTTTGTGTTTGAACATCTGAATGAATCATGTGTCTGTTTTTCATTATTCTCCATATGTGATTATTCCCTGCTTTGTTCAGTGATTTCTGGCCATTTTGTCATGACTGCGCTTATTTTGTTTTATATATTGTTCTATTACAGGGTGATTGTTGCTTCTCCTCTGCCTCACTTAGCAGTTATGCCACCAACAAAGAGCAATCTGAAAATGAGAGGTTACGTCAAAAGGTTTCCCCAGTGAACTCCCTCGCAGCATATACGATTACTTTAGACCCAACTTCTTAATTCATACCAGTGAGAAATCCTCAGATAACGCTATTCCTTAGCACAACAGGAATGTAGTGGGTATCCTTTTAAAAATCTGAGGAATACTGGAGAATGACTTAAAGTCCATTGCAGAGTGTTTCCCTCATTTTTCCAAGAGGAAACCTAATACTTCTTGTTAAGCAGTAACCTATTTTAACAGGGTATTTGAAATACATGGGGTATTGGAAATAATTCCTTTGCTATATTAACTATTTTCCACTTTCAGCTCTACTCTATACCTTGGTCAACACACAAATGACGCTGAAATAGATTCTGAAATCTCCAGTCATGTGATAACTCCTGTCATCTCCTTGAATTTAATCCACCCTACTGCATTGGATATACATCACAGGATGATGTGTTCATGTAATAAGGTATCTCATACTTTGTGGAAGGTGAACGAAATCCAAAAGACTGGAAAGGAGCAAACAAATTGCCTGTTATTTTGCTTTTTGTTGTTTTGTTTGGCTTGGGGGGTGTGTGTGTATTTGGTTTGGGGGGGGGATGTTGTTGGGATTTCCTTGGGTTTGGGGTTTTTTTTTAAGGAATGGATGTAGGCTCCAGTGTATTAGGTAGACTTGCAACTTCTGGAAAAATCTTAGAGCAAATAGTCATATAAATCCATTCACAGACCCTCAAAGCTAACAGGTGATTAGCACCATGCAGCATGGATTTAGCAAGAATAAATAATGTCACATCATACTTCCATCTAGAAGTAGGTAACCAGTCTTATGGATAGGTAAGTACTACATATTTTAGTTAAACCTTCGTTGCCTCTCTAACTTGAGCAGATGGGAGAAATACATCTAGGTAAAACTGATGTGATGTAGGTGCCAAATTGATTAGCAGATCCAATTTAAAAACAAAGTTCTCAGTTGCTCAGTGTTGCGCTACCTGGCGTACTGAGAGGGTTTCCTCAAAAGTCTCCCCCAGGTCTGTTATTATTCAGTCTTTTCCAAATTATCTTGTCCAGTGGATTAGAGAAATCATTTATTAACTGTGAAGAGGATACTAAAGAGGTAAGTGCTGCAAGCCCTCTGGAGACTTAAGATTTGAGAATAATCTTAGCAAATTAAGGAGTAGCTGGGAAAAAAATAGGATAAAATTCAATACAGACAAATGAAAAGTACTAGCCTTAGGAGGGAATCATCAACAGCACAGAGCTAAGCACACAATAAGGAATGCCTGGCTGCCAGCAGTGCTGGAGAAAAGAATAACAGAACCAGGGACTGCAGAGAAATCTCTTAGCATAAACAACAAAATGCATAAACAAAAAAAAAAATGTTCTTCTCATGCAACATCCTGTGCCTCAGAAACTTAACTATATTTTAAATATGCATTGTTATTTACATGGATGTATCAACAAAGAGAAGAGTCATGTGATCCCAGCGAAGACAAATGAAATAACCTCTGCACACTATTGAAAATGGTAAGATTTAGGTCGTCTGATATCCTGTGCCCGGTCTAAGGACTTCAAGTAAGAAGTGAGCTAATTAGAGAGAGACCAGTGAAGTGCAATATAATCAGAAACTTAAAACAAATTGCCCTTAAGGAAAAAGTGAAAGGACCAGTGTTTAGTCTAAGGAAAAGATGACAGACGCATAGCAGTCTTCAAATATATAAGTTTGCTGCAAAAAGGAAAGGAATAAACTGTTCCGCATGTCCACTGGGGATAAGAAAAGAAGCAATAGGCTTAAATTGCATCAAGGAAGGTTTGGGTTAGACATTAGGAAATGCTTCATTATAGTGAGGAGCGGGAGTGCTATCACAGATTGCCTGAGGAGCTCGAGGAATCTCTACTGCTTTGAGCGCAGGTTACAGAAACAGCCCTCAGCAGTGGGTTAGAGCTGATCCTGCCCCGAGGCGGAGGAATGGACGAGCTGACCTCTTCAGGTTCCTTCCACTTCTTTTTTTTTTTTTTTTTTTTTTTTTTTTGGCAGCCTTACTGAAGAGGAAGGAAATTGTATCCAGCATTTAAAGCAAAATGTCTATTCTTTTTATGCCACAAAGCATGCTGTTAATAAATCCAATTACATTTACGATCTTTTAATGGCACCACTTATGTCATAAAGATACATCTTTGAAAATACAAATAAATATCTTTGCCCTGAAGTGTAATACAACAGCGTGAAAGCAAACTTTTACAAAATTCCAACTCACTGTTACATGGCCCCCACCACAATAATCTCAAAGCTAATACAATACAAAGAACACCAAACCCAGATGGTTTTCTTTCTCAAAATTCTACCATTCATATTCTTCACAGTCTTTCCAATTCACATTTTGTGTTTCACAAACAGGTCCATTCCTTTCCTCGTTTACTGCTGGCAATGGGAATGGAAGGAAATTCTGATCACATGGCACCACCTTTGTGTACTGGTTACCAGTCAAACACGCATTTAAAACAAAACAAAAAGTTAAGAGCAATCATTGAGCACACTTCCCCAGATTCTCTCAACCAACCTTTAGGCAACCTTTAAATGAAGCATCTACACTGACAACACAGTGGTCTCAGACAACCAAGACCAGCAGGGACAAATCCACTTCTCTCTCCCATGGACTTCATTATTCAACATACAGCCCCGTTCAAATCCAACTGCATCTGCTTGATTTGTGTTGACGTTTCAGATGGACAAATTTCAGAAGAAAGATGAATAAAGGATAGAGTAGACACATGAGAGAACAGAGAACACCTCAGTCTCACATGGTAGTAGAAAGGGGAACAAAGACCTACATGTCCTCATCCCAAAAGGAAGGTCTTAGTTGTAGTGTAAGGCAATGAAGAGTGGCCCCAGGTAACCCCAACCTACCTGATCACAGATTTCTTATTCCTCATCCCTCACTTCAGCAGCTCAGGCCCCTCCAGCTCTCTTAGGCCTAAGCCCCAACTCCTTCCTGCCCCAGAGCCCTATCCCCAAGTGCTCCTACCCCCAAGCCCTTCCTATCCCACCGCAGCACTCTTCCTCCTTGTTAAACCAGCTCAGAGCCCATTCGATCTGCTCAGCCCCTTTGCAGTCCCATCATGCTGCAAGTCCCCTCTCCCTACAGCTCCCCATGCTGCACCTTGCCCCCAAAACTCAAATCTCCGGGCCTCACAGCAGCCAGCATCAGGCACATCCATCATCTCCTGGCTTTGAAACTGCAGCACTCACCTCTGTGTGTCCCCTCCAGCCACCCTCAGGGCTTTCTGCACTTGGCCCAGCCCCTGTTCCCTCCAGGGTATTCCTTCATAATACAATCAAAACAAAAAAACCCAAAACAAAACTAACCAGGTTTTGTTCCTGGTGTAGTATTCAAAGACAGGCAGAGTGATGTTATCACAAGTCTGCCAGAACAGTGCTCCAAGGAAAGGAAACGCACATCCAAGGCAAAAGCAAATGCATGGCAGTGCCACTTCTGATCCCAACCTGTGACCGACTGGGCTGGTGGAGTTTTCGAAGACTAGAAATGCAGCCTTCAGACTACTTTTCTTTTGAATGGCTAACGAGTGCTGTTGTGGCAGGCAACAGGTAAAGGCACACACTTCTATAAACTGCAAGAACAATGTACAGACATTAGCATTTTTCCCCATCTCATAACTTCCCCAAATGTCTTCTGCTGCTGCTTCTCTTCACACCCTACCTGGCCGCTCGTGAGATATTCCTGTACTGCAGTGCTTTTTGTTTTTACTAACTCATATAGATATGCTGTCCAGAATGTATTTATCAGAAGAACCACTCTAGTCGATCTTACTACTCCCAGAAGGATTCTGTATACCACTAGTGTAAAGTTACAGAGCCATTTTAAAGCAGATCTTCTCCCCCATAGATGTGATGGCTCTAGAGACTGGTGAATGAATAACAATTCTAGTCCCGAGATACTACTAGACATGTTAGTCAATATTTATCTAGGCAAATATAGCTGTACATACGCACACGAAACATGCTGTATTTCACTAAAGAAATGTTTTCATAAATTAGCAGACAAATTAAGAACATAAAACTGGAAGAGGAATCACTTTTATATCTTGGTAGCACAACCTGTGGATCTGTTTGTGTCAAAGAATATTTCTTTCCTCCAATAGCTTAAGCCAAGACTTCACAAAAATAGAAAAATTAAACCAGGTTTTGCTTGGGGAACTTTTCCCGAAGGCTTCTCATTTTTATATAGGAAATCAATTTGCATCACTGATGATATCATTCAAATGAGACAGCACTATGTGGTTAGAAGGTAATTTACTTTTCTGCCGAAGCAATTTGATACTTGTTCTGATTTGTGATTTTCATTTTGTTTGTTAATGAAAAAAATTAATGAGCAATGTTACTGGAAACACAACTCAAAGCTTTGGCATTATTAAATATGTTTGTAATATACCGTACATTATGTTGATTGCACAGTTGGAGCCAAAGCCTTGGCAGTCAAGTCACCAGTCAATCATTCAAACAGACAATGAACTCACAGGGCGGACGTTTCGCACGTACCTTTGCACTGATTTGTGTTTTTGTCAAGAATTGCCTTTGTGGATACAATTTTCCCATACCTATGGAGAAAACAAAAACAGGAATGCATGTTACTATATTTTAATAACATACATAGTTATTTTTGCACGCATATAACACATATACTAGGAAGAGATCCAGTGCTCTTGAAAAATGTTTTCCTCGTATTCTTGGAGAGGTTCCTTCTGCTACTGCAGTTCAACAAACACCTTTCAAGTTCACCTGAGGAGCACTAGGCATTTGACACACCCTGTCCACCTCTGGTGAACATGCTGCACTGCCAGCATAAATGCCAATTATAGTAAGAATTTTAGGACATCAGCACTAGTAAAGAGGTTTCTTTGGTTAAATTAATGAGGTTTCCTTAAAAAAAAATTCTTTTTCATTTTTAGCTGCCAAACAAGATTTGTTTTAATACAGATGGACCAGATTCCTCCAGGATTTACAAAAATGCAGGAGATATGGCCATTTTTTTACATGCATGCACACACAACTGTGCTCATGTGTGCATCCATGCCTGCGCATAAACACTCTAAACTTCTGGTTTAGGTAAACAGAAGCTTTGAGGTTTAGGTGAATCTCATAGCTCTAAGATGAATGTTAATACTTATTTAAATTTATGTTGCCTCCCATAGAAAGCACAGCACTGCACCACAACTTGATAGACCTAGCATGATGAAGAGAGAATTCAGGCAGCTACAACTCAGTGCATTAAGCAACTAGACTATAAAATAGTTATCTATCTTTACCTCACAGAGGTTAAGGCTAAAAATGCAGACTTAAGTATCACAAAAACCTGGTGAAAGATCACAGATGGCTGTTTATGGCTGACTATAAGATGTCAGGAGAACAAGGAAAATAATTGTATTTCTCAAGTCACTGATATGTCTTGGTCTCTGCTTCACTGAAGAGAAATTCCTCTAAAATATCCTATCTCAGATTTTTTTAAAAAGCATTGCTTGTTTTCTGATAGATTGGGCTTTCATTCAGAAGCCTTTTCCATGGAACGCAACTTTTGTCATCAAAGACTATAATAAAATTGTATCTTCTAATGGCAAAGCAACACCCATGGAAAATAACCAACAGTTCATCAATTATAAACCACTGAAATGTATGGCAGGCCAACTTTTATTTGGTTAATCTTTATTAACAGCAATATAAACTTGGTGTTAGTGACTTCTACTTGAAGTCCAGAACGCAGGATGTGGAAGACTGCTGCAATTCCCTTCTCTGCCTCAGGAGAAAACCCATGTCACCTACAATATAGAAAAGGACTGTAAGGGCAGCTACTGTATTACGTATTCAAGGTCATGCTCTTCTCTATCCTACCAGTCTGCAAACATATCCAGTAAACCAGGGGGCAGCCAAAGATGGAATGGTACCATCACTCGTAGGGAAAAAGGGACCTTTGGGTTTTTCAGTCTGGGACCCAGAAAACACCTAAATACCTCATGAAGGGGGAGCAGCACCGAGAAGAAAGGCTGGGCCCAGCCTGCCTAAATGTACTCTTTGGTACCACCAAAGAAGATTTGAGGCAATTTGGTGCCTGACAGAAAGTTCTCAGTGGAAGTTTCCACACAGAGAGTGACACACAACCACTCAGTTTTAGATAAAGGCCAGTGTCCCTCCATCTCTCTTTACTCTGCTTTCGTGACTGATGCTAAGTGAGACTTTCCATTTTCACTGTTTGTCCTTTCCCCCAAGAACTGGCAAAAGCATTTGTTTTCATTTGACTTTCATTTGGGGGAGGAAGAACGTGCTTTGCTTTGGTTTACTTCAGACTGAAACGAGTCAGAAGGAGGGCAAACTGACCTAAAGGCATTAACAGTTTATGCAATCCAAGCTGAGCCCCAATTCAGCCATCTTCTAGGAATCAAAAAAACCCAAAAAACAACCCAACCCCAAAAAACTCGCACAAGCCTTCCTCCCCTCCACACACCCTCTTTTTCTTGCTGGCTCTGAAGGCAGGCGTAATCCATTGTATGCTCCAGCATGATGGGTACACGGGCAGGTAGTTGTGGGCCTATTTTGCCATAGCTGGCTCCACTCCAAATACATACCTAACAGATTTAAAGTTAACCATGAGATCACATGCTTTTCTAACCTCAGGTGTTTCCAAGAATTGGGGCCTTTATACTCACTTAGGTTCCACTTAATTTTATAATTCTTCATGGTAATACCTGAAGTTGACTTTGGCCTCGAGGACATCAGAGCACATACCTTAAGAAGGCAAAGCCAAACTCTCTGCCAGTGTGATTTATGGTTGTTCAGTGGGCCAACTTACCCAGCAGGAAACTTGGCCTGTGCAGTGCATCTTCATTTATTTGATTTATTTAGGTATAAAATCTAATACACAAAAAACATGCAAAAACATGCCTATCTTGTACAGTAAAGGGCCTCTGACAGATATATGGGAAAAGAATCCAACAAAAATCAGCGGCTAACCCACAACAACCTCAAATAAAACACAACCCCTACCTAAACTTCCGCCAACAAAAACTAACACCCAGCCTCCATTTTAGTCCAGCCTCTCCTAATGAATTGATATGTTGTTTCATCCAAGTCACGTGAGAGCTAAAAGTTAACGTTTCTTGCCAGCAGAGACAGGCATTTGTGGTTCCACTGCTTTTATTACAGATATCCCAGAGTTATTTGCTGCATACTGTGATCCTGCAAACACTTAGTTACACGAGAGATTTTCCTCACAGAAGTAATTCTGTTCAGTTCAGAAGAAGGTTCCTCCAACACGTAAAGTTACACACGCACCTTCACGTTTGCAAAACCAGACATCAGAGCACTGGTAAGAGGCACCACAACAAACACTGTTATAGGCAATTAGCCATATGCAGGCGATTTAATCTACCGCTATAAACCTTGAGCACTGCCACAAGAAAGTAATTGGAATTAATTTGGACACTGTTTTCCTAAATATTTCAAGTAATCATCTTACAGTAATCAGAACATCAGTTCTGATGAAGAATGTTAGTTTGTGTGCTGCGTGAAATCAGGAAGGTATTTTGTTCCTGCAAATGTAGTCATATTTCTTTCTTGCATGTGTGGAGAGCGGTATCAAGTTACGTCTCCTCTCCAAAGTTGTTTGGCTTTCTGTTTGTGCGATCTTTAATGGCGATTAGATTCATCCAGAAGTAACAAAAAATGTATTCCTCAATGGAAAAGCCGACAGAAATAAGGATAAAGTGCATCACAAGAGCTGACCTCTTGTTTTCTTATATTTAAATGAAAACTAGTATAAAATTCAACAGCCTGCAGACCTCTGGTCTACAAACTACTGATATCATTAATGTAAAAAATACCAGGTATGGTTTTGCTTGTCATGAGAAAACATGAGCACTGTTTAATTTCCTCCTGAGCCATGGTGCGCAGAGGTATTCTTCGTAAGATTTTGAATCAAAATCTGGTCAGAAAAAGATAATAGTGAAATTGAGTTCATCTCAATGCCTTATTACCAACCTCTGTGAGATGGCTACCTCGAATGTGTCTGGAGAAGGACTGGTGGGAGAGGTGGTGGTCGGAGGTCGTCTTGGCCTTAGTGATCACAAAATGGTAGAGTTTTTGATCTTTGGTGAGGTAAGGAAGGGAGTCAGCAACACCGCCACCATGGATTTCCAGAGGGCAGACTTTGATGTGCTCAGAACACTGGTTGGGAGAGTCCCTTGGGAGACAGTCCTGAAGGGCAAAGGGGTCCAGGAAGGCTGGGCATTTTTCAAGGAAGAAGTCTTAAAGGCACAGGAGCAGGCTGTCCCCATGTGCCGTAAGGCAAATCGGCGGGGAAGAAATATGTTAACAGCAAAAAGAGAGTCAGGGAGAACCTCCATCCTCTAGTGGACGCAAGGGGGAACATTGCCACTAAGGATGAGGAAAAGGCTGAGATACTTAACGCTTTCTTTGCCTTGGTCTTTAATGGCCCAATAAGTTATCCCCAGGGTACTCGGCCCTCTGAGCTGGAAGACGGGGATGGTGAGTGGAATAAACCCCACATAATCCAGGAGGAAGCAGTTTTCGACCTACTATGCTGCCTGGACATCCACAAGTCTATGGGGCCGGATAGGATCCACCCAAGAGTGCTGAAGGAGCTGGCATAGGAGCTGGCCAAGCCACTCTCTATCATTTATCAGCACTCCTGGATAACAGGGGAGGTCCCAGATGACTGGAGGTTGGCAAATGTGACGCCTATCTTCAAGAAGGGCCAGAAGGAGGATCCGGGGAACTACAGACCTGTCAGCCTGACCTCAGTACCGGGGAAGATTATGGAGAGGTTCATCTTGAGTGTGCTCACCAGGCACATGGAGGACATTCAGAAGATCAGGCCCAGCCAACGTGGGTTCATGGAATGCAGGTCTTGCCTAACCAACCTGATTTCCTTCTACGACCAGGTGACCCGCCTGGTAGATGAGGGAAAGGCTGTGGATGTTGTACACCTGGACTTCAGCAAAGCCTTCGACATAGTCTCCCATAGCATTCTCCTGAAGAAGCTGGCAGTTTATGGCCTAGATGGAGGTACTCTTCACTGGGTTAAAAACTGGCTGGATGGCCGAGCCCAGAGTGTCGTGGTGAACCCACGTGGCAGCCGGGCACAAGCGGGGG